GCTAAAGGAAGTTAATGAAAACACATTTGTGCTGAGAATGGGAAAAATAGACGGAGGATTATTGGATTAAATACAATTAATTACGTAATACAAAATGAATGTATGTCAAAGTAGGAAACTGAACGAAAGGTTATGAAGATAAAATAGCGATTATGTAATACGGGATAAACCTATGACAGAGTATGAGAATAAACAGGTGATCATGAGAATAACATAGTAACTACGTAATGCAGGTTAAATCTGTGACAGAGTAGAAAAATGAATCAGGTCTACATGTATAGTTACCTGATACAAAAGGAATCTGTAGCCGGAAGGATTTTATGATTGTCATGTCAAAGATAAAGTATGGACGTACATTCCTTGCACGCATAACTCTGGTTTGAACTTCTGGATGGCTAGTGCTTCAGCTATAGACAGATGCCTTGATTTTACTGCCTTCGAGTAGTTTGATGGAAGCCTCTAGAGAATTTTGAATGAGCTCTCGAAAAAAGTTAAGTGACCTGAGTTCACAAGGTTTTCTGTTATTGAACTGAAGATACATTTCCGTTCTCCTTTTACCAGTCACGCTGAGTAGTGTTCGTAGACACGTTTTACAAGCGTTCGCATGACACTGTCAACGTACTCAGCTTTACAAGAGCAAGTAAGCTGGTGTACACACATTGATTTGGCCCAATGCGTTGGCTTGTCTTTCACACATTGACCAATAAGTTTCTTGCAGGAGAAAATTATCTGAAGGTTGACGGAGAAATATATTCTGCTTGTGGGTTTTAACAGTCGTTTCCTTAGGGTCTCTACAGAAATATCATTTTTGAATTTCAGATTCAACAGAAGAATCTTTTTCGGCGTCAAATGTTTTCCTTCACACTTGGGTTCTTATCTATAAATCTGAGCGGGCACTCGTTTTCCGCTAGACTTCGTCGAAGTATTTTCATTTCTCCGTCAATTGTGTCTTCAGTACATATTTTCCTGATCCTCCTTCGTTGAAGTTGAACATCAAGAAAATGGAAAGTTGAGTTCAATTCTGATTCTAAGATGAATTTGGTTAAAGGGGTGGGCGTTATTGACTTTATTCCAGACAATTTTTAATATAGTTTAGAATTGTTGAGGATGATATATTGCAACGATAGCAAAATATATCATTTTGACTATCTGAGAAAAAGTAACCATGGTTTAGCAGACTAGTATTACTGATACTGAGTAATGATTGAAGATGAAGTGGAAATTTGGAACACGGTGGGGTTCGAACTAGCGATCACTAGATTTCTGACTTGGTTCTCTACCAAGTGAGCAATAACCGCTGGACTGTTGACTAGATCTGTTTTTTTTCAATTCAATCACTAAGGTTGAAATGAAATAGAAATGTGGTCAACAGTCAAGCCTTATAGGTCATTTGGAAGAGTGACGGGTTGGAAGCCTAGCAGTGGCTGGTTCGAACCCCGCAGTGGTTCAAATTTTCAGTTGGGATTTGTGTCCTTAGTTGTATAAGCGTACAGTCTGATGTAATTTCATCTCATCCCCCATTCTCTGAGAGGGGAGATAAAAGGAGAGACAGAGAGATCTGTGAATATAAAGTGGGCCAGAAGTGGGACATCACTCACTCTACTGATAACTTTCAAAGCCATAAACATAGTTCTTTTTTTAGTAGAAGACCAGGAAACATCAACTGGGAACAATAGATAAGAATATAGGTAAAAGTAGACGTTGAGTTATACTAGACAGTTTCAACTTTCGTTATGTAATACATTAGACTTGAAGACTTGAAAAAGTATAAACTACTGTGACTTCAGTTATCATAGTTGTAACTTCCAATTTGCTATGAGTAGTTGACATGATTAACCCGTCTGCAAAACCTAATCTTTTGTTAGATAAACGTCTATTTTAACAATCAGGGATAAGTAGGTATCCATTATCTATTTTTCATTATTTTCGGTTCCTAGTGGAATATAGGGATTTAGTAGCACGCCTTCATTGCACACTTTCTTCTATGTAGTCTTTTCAACCTACAGCCACGACTGCCTGGAAGCTTTCATTTCTTCCTCATATAATCTCTTTCATGTCAACCTCAGCTGAGACGCCCAACTCGTCGTTTCCCGTTTGGGTTACAATCGACGGTCTGGCCAGGTGCATGATGTCCCCAGGCGGCCGTCTAAATTTATGCCCAATCAATCTCCACTTCCTTCAACTGCATATTTGTTGAGTGATAGGTTCTTGGTTGGTTCGTTGCCAGTCAGCCACAGTTCCTTGTTGCTTATTCTTATTCTTTCTGGTCATCTGATCTTCAGTATCGAGCCAGCATAAGTAGCTGTTGATGAATGTCTGTAGTTTGATGGAAATGCTTTTTTTAACGTGCCAACTTTCTGAACTATATAGAAGCAGTGATGGACTTGACTGAATTGGTGTTGAATCTCTAGATGTTGTTCTTTATGCTGACTGCACTGCAGTAAATCTCTACACTGGTTTCAGAATAGTGAAAGCCTGTCTTACTGTCGTTCGGATCTTGGTTTTGACATCTTCATCTGTGTCGCTTGTAGTTGAAACGATGCTGCCTAGGCAGTTAGGTGAAAGAAACTACTTCATTTAGGTTTTTCCCGTTCATGGTGATTGGTACTTGTTATTGGTTATTGGTCTTCTCTATATTCGCTTGAAGTCCTGTTTTCTCTACCCTGACTGTTCTATCAACTTGTTAGTTTTCGCCTGTAGATCTTCAAGTTTGTGTGACAAGACATTAAAAACATAAATCATCATCAGATTGAAACGTAAATCTTCTCCAGGGTGTTTTCATCGGTACAATCAGTTCATGCCAATCTTCTTACTCCTCACAATTTGCCGTATTATCCAGTCCATAGAATCATTTAATCCAGGTGAATGTCTAGGTTCAGGCATTTCTCACGCTTCAAGTGTTACTTTTCTCAGTAATTCAGATTGATAATACTGGAAATATTTGTTGTAGTGCAGGTAATTAAATAATAAAAGGATCGTTGTTGAACAATAGTGAATATTACACATATATAAAACTTCATACATTTCACATTAGAGTATGCAACATTGTCAAGGAGATACATTGGCTGTTAATTGACTTCTGTTAGATGGTTTGATACAAGACAACTTAGCAGAGAAATCTGTTGCTTAACAGTATTATGGATATGTTACCGTTAAGTAGACCAATCTCTCCAGGTTTGATTGTTTATTCAGATTTCCGGATGGATTAGTCATCATCATCATCATCATCATCATTATCAACATAGGACCAGGCATTACGGCGTAACGGTCCGAGTTGCCACACCTCATATCAGCACATCAAGTAGAAAGGTAGTGAGGCGAAGGATGAAGACAAGTGAATGCAGTCAAAAGAAATATAAAGTACGAGAAGAAAGAGAAGAGGAATGACAAAGTGGTGAGATTTGGTATAGCGTTGTTAAGATGAGGATAATGTGTGTGGGGATACATCTGCGCCACTGACTTCGGTTCTGAGCCATATCACCTAGGGTCTCCAACCACTGTTGGTTCCTCTTGTCCCGTGGACCCCAACCACCTAGTCTGCATCGTCCTACATGGCTTAAACCAACAGTCAGAGACTTCATACATTGGTGCCATGTTTTAGTCTGGCCACCTCGGGCCTTTTTCCAGCCTGGACCCACTTCAGCCAACATTGTGTGACGAGGCAATCGGTGACTAGGCATACGTAGTACGTGTCCCAACCATCTCAGTCGATGAAGGTTCACAACCTTGTCAACTGACTTACCTCTTCATCTAAAACTCTACACCTAACTTCTGCATTACTCACGTGGTGACACTAGGGAATACGTCCTATATTACGAAGGCAACGGTGGTCAAACACCTGAAGCCTTTTTGTATCCTCCTCTTTCAATGGCCATGTTTCACAGGCATAGAGTAGAACAGAGTGGACTGTTGTGCAATACACGCGACCCTTAATACACAAACGAATATCACGGCGGCGCCATAGGTGGCGCAAATTGGCAAAAGCCAATCGAGCCTTTTGTATCCGTGAGATGGATTAGTGACAGACAAGAAATCGTAGACCAGTTTATTGTGCTTAAGATTTTGTATATGATTGGATTTTAGGGTATTGGTAAGGCAGGTGAGTTGATTATGAAGCTGTTCATGAAACAGGAAATCATGGGTAAGCCAGTTGAATACTTGTAACATCACTTTCCAATATAACATATAAAGTACGATATTTAGTAAGTCGTCTTATTAAGCTCTCATTCATCAGTTGGATGTACCTGTAGTCTATCGGCGAAGTTATGTTGTTACCACAGAGTTTCAAGCCCAGTAATGTTAATAATATGATCAATTCGGTCGAATCAACGACGGTATGATATAAAGACAATTATATATATACTAAAAATTAAACCCTATCGCACAGGATTCCCTCGAGTGGAATCCCCATGGGAAGCGATGAGTTGGACGTCCGAGGGTGACATGGAGGAGGTCGTACGAGGAGGAAACGAGTGCTTCTGGGCTGTCGTGGAACCAGGTTCAAAAGATCTCAGAGAACAGAATTAACTGGAGACGTGCTACTGAAGCCCTATGTTCCATTAGGAACCGAAGGGACTAATAATAATAATAATCGTACAGGAAGTGGCGATCATGGTATAATGGTGTAGTAAATAACGCTTTGACGTTTGAAGTGATCGCTTCCGGGTGGGAACAACATCACTGCTCACTGGGAACCAGGTACATCTAGCTGACTGATGAGTCACAAACAGGACAAAATACACCTTGTGAATTCCACTGCTAGCTATTATTCATCATTACAATTATTATAATACTTTTACTTTCAGCTGATGAGTTCTACAATGTGACGAAATGCAAGTTAAGCTAGATTTCTATTTACCAATCACCAAGATCAATATTATTATAAATTTTTTTTAACAGCTAATCTATTCTTTACACTATTATGATTTGTGTTCAAATTAACTATTAATTTCATCATCCCCCCCCCTTTTTTTTTTCTTTCATTACTTTTAATCAAACAGTAATGCTGTTCGTCTTGCTATTCGTAAATTAACTTATGCTCCTGAAGAAATTGCTCCACAACCATCTGCTGTTGTTTTAAAAGAGTTCATTATGAGTGCTGGTACCCTACGATTAGAAGTTTCATTAAATAAAGAAGTAAGTGGTATTGATTATTTGTATTGTATATTATTGATATGAATGGATATAAGTAGTATATATTTTTGACAGGGTGACAGAAATCACAAAGAAATTATCAGCAATACGTAAAGTATTTCGTCAATACAATCGCTAGAGATAAGACAAACGTATGAAGAGGAAATCAAGAAAAGGAAATGAAATACATTTTGCCGCTATTGTACAAGATGAAGATTCTGTGGCCTGTAGAGTTCAAAGATGGAAACATCAAGGTGTTTCTCAGGAACTTTGAGTCGGTCTCGGAGTTGTTGGGTGTTCGGGATCAAGGAGCGAAGTTGAGGGATAGAGTGAAAGCAGCGTATAATGGCGTGGAACATGGAGAAGGGAAGGATTTCGACAGCCTAGTTGACAGAAAGCTGGTGATGCAGCTATCTTGGAGCATGACACTTGAAATAGTCGAAAATCCGCTGTTATTGACTGTCATGTTAATTAAACTACTTCAACGAGCAGTTCCCATTTTGGATGATGACTCCCAGATGTAGTTGCTTGTTGCTAATAGTTCACCGAAAGTGTCGAGAATATCAAGCAACTACGACTAGTGAACGCAGCCCAACCTATGGATATTAGTGAGATGACGAAAGTGACCAGACAGCTGATGGGTACAGACGTAGCCGCAGTGGAGTCAACAGAGATAAATAACTGGAAAAAAAACAAATCGACAGCCTTCAGGAAAAGGTGGTTGAAGTGGAAGTATGGCTGATTTATATTTTTAGTCAAAGCTTGGAGTCATTGGTCATATGATATACATGACAAGTAACCAATGTTGTTAAGTGAAAGCGAAGGCGATGTAGATAATACTGAAGTTCACTATGATGATAATATGTGATCACTTCTACTGTACTAAGATTGATTCTAAGCAAAGAAAATAGCCTAAAGTCATTATACATGTGTTTCTTTGCTCAAATGGACTTCCCCCCTGCCCCCCCCCCCTCACACTAAAATTTCTTTCTTGAAGATTTCATGTACTCGGGCTGTGGTACATTGATTTACGTACTTAATTTTTAACCAATGGGTTATACGTTCGAATCCTGTCCCATCTATCAATATATAAACCCTATTACTCACCGAAATTGAAGAGACGAAATGACGCCGGTTAATGAAAGCCTTCGAGGAAGCTAGTTGGCCGATGTGTCCTCTCTTTATGAAAGCGAAAGTAAGTATGGGGACATGGAATGTTCGCACCATGTATCAACGTACCAAGTCTGCCCAGACTGTAAAAGAGATGAGAAGGTATGGCATGGAAGTGCTTGGAATCTGCAAAACTACTGATTGTGGTAGACTGGACAACTGTAAGGAGGCATAAAATGGGGCATACGTTGACTGGATGGATGTAAACACCCTATAGAAGATTCGAATTTCGCCCATGATGATTTATATTGAATGTTGCGAAAATTCGAAGATCTACATACAAAAGCCAACAAGTTGACAGAAGAAGCAAGGTAGCGAATATAGGACATCATGTGAACGTATAGAAGACAGAGGTTTATCACCGACTCCTCAGTATGACTAAATGGTGGTTAATTTGATCAACATGGAATAAAGTCAATGGTTGACCTGGAGAGGACATACTTTTATTTGCATAGTTGTAGAATCTAGATGGATACATGTTTCGTCCCATTGACAGACTCATCAGCTGTGTTAAACTGATCATTTTAAATGTTAAAATGTTATCCACACACGACTACTAAGTCACTTCTTATGCATTTTCTTTAAGAAAATCTATTCATATGTTTCTCCTTTGTTCTTCATGCCTTTTCTAGAAATATTATCATGGAGAATCGATTGAAATTAATGTCCTGGTAGATAATAATTCGAATAAAACAGTGAAAAAAATTAAATTATCAGGTAGGTAGGTAGGTAGGTGGTAATGGTGGTGGATTGTATGTGTGTGTGTGTGTGTGTGTGTACACATAAAGGTTTCACTTCATTTCTTCTTGGTTACCTACAAGCTTATAGTAAATATTATCATTAAGCAAGGTATATACGTAGACATTTCGATAAGTTGATGTCTATACCATACACTGAGCTTAATGAATGAAGTATCTGTGAGGCGAGTGTAACACACCTAGGTGTTGAGTATTGATGAAATTCTAGCTAACATCTACTAGTAATATGACCATCAAGGTAGTAGAGGTTTATCGTCGTGGATATTAGTTGATTTGTATGCAGTTCATAGGACAGTTCATGAGGACATCACGCGTCAGGCCAGTTGCTCGAGTGGAATCCCCATGGGAAGCGACGAGTTGGACGTCCGGGGCGAGGGTGACATGGAGGAGGTCGTGCGAGGAGGAAATGAGAGCTTGTGGGCTGTCGTGGAACCAGGTTTAAAAGATCTCAAAGAACAGAATTCACTGGAGACGTGCTTCTGAAGCCCTATGTTCCACTAGGTACCCAAGGGACTAATAATAATAATCATAGGATGCTGTGCTTGCGCCTGTTGTGATACTAGTCAAGAAGGTGTATTTACAACCTTTGGTTGGTAGGGGGGGGGAGAAGTGATATCTCCTGTGAAGTTTAAACCTGTACAAACCTGTCGACTGGATTCAACCAAGTAACATTCATAAGAGTTGATCACAATGATCACCCCCTCCCCCCTGCCGTCTAGTGAATTGGATTAATACACAACCAATCTAACCGTAGAGGAAGTGAATTATGGTTTTGGAATAGACCAGTGGAAGCTTCTCTGACTACAATACTCATTGACCTTGGGTTGAAATCTCAAATGGCTTACTGGTTGCCTGGCTGGTTAGCTTCCTGGCGAACATCATCAACCAATTAACCTTGAAAAATAATTTACTACTTCACTATATGTTGATATAAACATTAGATGTTGTGAATAAAAAAGCACACCTACTTAAAACAACCTTATGAAATAGAACATTCCAGAGTTGTTTTTTTTTAGGTCAAGGATATTGTTACATACCTTACATGATTTTGTTATCAAATAAGGGAACAAATTGTATCCTTAAGAAGAAAAATAATAGTTTTATAACTTTTTTTCCAATGAATAACTGAATTTATTCCAAGTTAGTGTTGCCTTATGGACTGAGATTAGTTGGAAAGTGGGATGGCACCACTGAATATCAACTATTTCGTCCTAGTGTGTGTTGTATTGAGACTGTTCAGTTGTGTGTGTGTGTGTGTGTGTGTGTGTGTGTGTGTGTGTGTGTGTGTGTGTGTGTGACAATTACTTCATCAGCTGTCTAACCTAGGAACATTGGTTTATCAGTGAATGACTTTCTTCTCGATAAGATTTTTTAAGGTTTTAATGAAAAGTCATCATTTGAGGTAGGAGGGGGGTGGGGGAACTAGGTCGAATGTGAGGACAAAATATCATAATTTGACAGAAAGACTCTATGTCACTGACCCAATTGCAACTTGACAGCCACTGAACCTGGAATTCCTGTCTTCCAGTGCCATATTAATAGGTCGAACACTTTCAAGTTCTCTTAATACTTTTCCAACAAGATATCATATCGAGATGAGTTGAATCCTTACAGATCTTCAAGTTGAATTACTATTTATTGTTTGATTTTGTATGAAATTTTTTTCTCCCACATTATTTGCTCTCCATAGACGACGTCGTAATGAATATAATCTTAAGTACGTCTGACTTCATATAGATTAATCCTAAAGGTCATTCGATTGATTTGAAGTATGCTGACGATATTCTCCTGTTAGGTAAATATGCTGATGTATTAAGGAGGAATTTGAGTAAGATATGTTGACTAGTTCCATCAACGCAAACGAGTTGGTTTTTGACGAAATCTTAACTCGGATATAGAAGGTCCGTTTATCATTTGCGAACCTGTGCCATATGCGGCGCTCTATTTGGAGGGCTATTTGACAATTTATCAAAGGCCCGATATACTACACTGAAATCCCTTCTGTTCCGTTACACGGTTGTGAGATACGTCCGTTGTAGATAGAAGACATGAAGTTGTTACATGTTTTTGATCATGTTGAGGTCAAGCGAAGGTCATTAGGTAAGATTGGCACATTGTTCGATGAGGTTGTCGACTGAGAAAGCGGACACTGCCTCTCTCAACATACCATGCTGAAGAAAGTTGGATTAACTTGGATGGGGTTCAACGTGGCCAGACTAAGACGTGGTACCAGTCTAGGAAGTCCTATTCTTCACAAGACCTGTTGAATATTTTGTCTCCCGATAGTATACATCGATTAAAATATAGTCCGAAGAATGTACTTATTGACTAAGAATGATCTATAGTTCAATATTCTCCATAAACACTCTATAAATGATATCGACATTCTTCTGTTAAAACAGGCAAAATGACACCTGATTGGTCAATATTATCCAGCGAATATATGGACTAAATATTTGACCTCAACCTTGACCAAAAAAACTGTATTATTGGCTTTTAATTAGTTCGTTATTACTAACCTTGATCATAGGTCGTGTTATTGACATTTGATTGGTTGATTTTTAACCAATCTCTAAGAAGTAAACTTTTCTATCTTTAAGACATTTAGCAGATATTGGTTCAGTTAAAATATTGATAGCCTTTCTATGGGTCGATAAATATCTCTTGTCGTTCTAGTCTTTTCTTGCTGAATCTTCCAGTTGCGTATAAACGTCAGCGATAGATAAACAACTATTATGTACCAGATTAAGGTCAGATTGGTAGACGGAAAATGTCAACGTAGAACCATTAACACAGATCCATCAATTGAAGTTATCACACTTGTCACAGTATAGTACATGAAGAACATTATTATTATTTGTCTCTTGGGTTCCTAATGGAATATAGGGCTTCAGTAGCATGTCTCTAGTGCACTTTGTTCTCTGTAAACTTCTGAACCTGGCTCCACGACAGCCAAGAAGCTCTCATTTCTTCCTCACACGATCTCCTCCATGTCACCCTCGCTTCGGACGCCCAACTCTTCACTTCCCATCTGCATTCCACTTGAAAGACTGGATGGTGCGTGATGTCCCTAGTCGGCCTTCTCAATGTATGCTCAACCCATCTTCACTCTCTTCCAGTGCATATTTGTTGAGCGATAGGTTCTTGGTTGGTTCGTTGCCACAGTTCCTTTTTGCTTTTTCTTTCTGGCCATCTGATCTTCAGTAACGAGACAGCGTAGGCAGTTATTGATGTATTTCTGTAGTTTGTTGAAAATGGTTTCCGTAACGCGCCAAGTCTCTGAGCCATACAGAAGCACTGATTTGACTGAATTGGTGTTGAAAATCCGGATGTTGTTCACTCTTTGTGCGGAGTGCAGAAGATCTCCACACTGGTTTCAGGTTAATGATATTTATATATATATATATATATATATATATATATTTTGCTTGCTTTGGGTGGACAGGAGTGGGGCGTGATTCCTCGCCAGTTCTTGCAAAGACTTAGGTTGCCCTTCTTTGGGAGTTTGACAAGGTAGCTCATCTTCCAATCGCCAGGATAGAAAAAGATGGAAGAGCGGGAATAGGAGAAGGAATTGAGAAGGGAAGTTTACTCAAAACATTGAAACTCTGAAAGATTGAATGTGATCATTCATGTCTAATGTCGCAGAGACTGGAAGATGTGCAGAGGAAAACTAACAAGTTGACAGAAGATGTAGGGTAGCGAAGGGAGATAAAACTTCATTCAGGTGAGCGTAGAGAAGGCACAGGTGATGAAGATACGTAGTCAACAACAACAATAACAACAGTAAGAAGCATGAATCACCATGAAGGTGAGAAATGTAAAGGAATTAGTCTCTTCCACCTTCGTTGAGAACATCGTCTTAACTACAGGTAGCGGCCGCACGGATAAGGACATCAAAGCCAGTATTAGATAGACAGTAAGACAGGTTTTCCTGCATTAATCTGAAATCAGTGTGGAGATCTACTGTACTCCACTTGACATAAAGAACTAGATCCAGATTTTCAACACTAAGTTGGTTAGGTTGGGAGACTTGAAGCGTTACGAAATGCATTTCAAACAAACTGAAGACATACATGAATAGCTGCCACCTACATTCACTCAATACTGAAGATTAGACAGACGGTGAGAAAGAAGAAGAAAGTGCAGATGGATTGGATTGGAGATAAACTGAGAAGACAGTTTGAGGATATCAAGCATCAGGCCAGGCTGTCCAGTGGAACCCAGATGGGAAACGACGAGTTGGTTCGGGATGTAGCCGGGTTCGAACCAATGAGCATCAGGTTTCTGGTTCGTTAATGTACCAACTAAGCAACGAGGTCTGACTGCTGACCACATTTTGATTTCACTTCAATCGCAAGTGAGGTTTTGCCTGCCTATTATACGAATCTGTGGCGCCTTACTATCACCTGATAGTATTCACACTGGCTGTCGACCAGTCAAGACTTCTCTTTCCAATCGAAATGAATATGAGTTAGAAAGAGAGATGGAGTATCATATTGATTATCATTTGACTGTCTGAGATATAAGCCATGGGTTGGTAGACTAGTATTACTGATACTGGGTGGCGATTGAAGGTAAGATGCAACCGGTTTCGAACCAGCGAATCACCGAGTTTCCGCTTCGATGCCCTACCAACTGAGCTATGAGGTCCATTTATCAGTATCAAAACTAGTCTATGAAAATGCTAATCAATATGATACTACCCCTCTGATTCTAATTAAGTTACATTTCGATTAGGATGAGAAATTTTGATGAGTTGACATCTAGTATGAGTACTATCAAGCGACAGAAAAATGTCACAGATTCATATGGTAGTCGAACAAAACAACCCTTGAGTATTCAAGTGGAATTAAAAATACCTTGTCAGCAGTTGGATATTGTAGTTGATAGAGTGCATTGGGTTGATAACCTGAAAGTTGTTGGTTTAAGCCTTGGCGTGATCAAAGATTTTTCATC